GTGGAAGACCGGAAGCGGTGTGGTTCATATAAACATGTTCTTACTCAATATCAAGCCACAATTATTGCTTTTTTTTTAAATCGTATAATTTCGGACTTTTGTTGCCGTCTGTGAGGAAAATAAATGGGGCTCAGAGCCTCAGAATACTGACATTTGTATTTTTCAATATTTTTTTCCTTCTAATTTGTTATTATTTTCAAAATAACACACTGTTATTTACTCACCAATAACACAATAACACAATTCAAACAATAACATTGTAACATAAATATCGTAGTCCTTTTTATAAAAAATATATAGTTTGACTTATATTGTTGGTGATGTCAGTGTCTTTCTATGTGATTCGATTGATTCTGTCTCCATTCAGTTAGAACTGTTACTTTTATGCATGAGTTCATTTATTTTTCTTGCATTTCTATTCCATTAGAGATCAGTCATCTTTGTTTCAAGAGGATTCCTGGCCAAGATTGTGTCAGCACTTTTAGAGGCAGAAACAAAGAAAACATTTCATAATTTGATCAAATCCTGTATACTGAAGAAAAAGCTGTAAGAAAAATAGATTAACAATCAATTGAGCCAGTGAAGAGATAAGAGATGGATGGGTTCACACAAAGTGTAGTGTAAACATTGCTAGTTTGCAATTTATTGTTCTAAAATCTCATCTTTCTGGGAAGGAGACTAAAATGAAAATGAATCTTTTTTTTTCTTGAACAAACAAGGCTCTCTCTCTTACACAATCATCCGAGCCCTTCTTAAATGTAGAACACTGTCTGAATTAAATATTGAGGTTGTTACTGGAAAGCAGTCAAAACTCTTTGGGAAACAATGGACAGTATGACAAGCGATTGAAAAAGGAGCTGTATCACCTCTTCCACCTTCACAGCTCCGATAGAGAATTGTTTCTGAATTATTCATTGCTCCGTTGCTCTAGAAAGTCCTTGGACATGTATCTTTGCCCAGTGGTATTAAGTCAAAGTCACTTCTTTTCAGATGCTACAACGGTAGCCTTTTAATCATGGTCACCCTTCAGTAGAGTGTGGTTACTCAAAGACTTAGCAGAGAAAACAGATAGTGAGTTTGTAGCTGATGTAAGACATCCTCCGGCAGCTGTTAGGACACATTGTGTTTAATCAGAAGTTGCAATTGAATACTAATTTAGTTCCTAACAAGGGTGATTGAAGTGAATCCCAATATCTGCTCAGCTAATTGTTGCCTTGTAGTAAATCCATGACGGCTACATGTCTTAAGCCCCTTTCCCAACAGGCAAATAACCTACTTACACCCACTTAAATCCGACACTAACTAAATAAAAAACTAATAACAAGCGTCTTTGTTAGTATTTCCAATGTTCCAAGAATCACAAAGTTTGGTTTGAAAGTTTTAAAGAGTGTAGAAAGAAGTAACCACTTCTTAATTTTACCTGTGGAAAATGATGTACTCTTTGGACTTATATCTAACCAAAATGCAGACACGTTTATCACAAAATGTTGTTGGGGATGGATAATATAGCATGAAATAACCAAAAATCTATCTATCTATCTATCTATCTATCTATCCATCTATCCATCTATCTATCTATCTATCTATCTATCTATCTATCTATCTATCTACCTATCTTTGTTTGGGTGAACCCAAACTCATGTTTGGAAACTCATGTTTGGGTTCACATGAGTTTCTTCAGACGAGGTTAGAAGTCATTCGTCACTGTTCTTTCCTTCTGTTTGTGGCTGGGCTTGGGAACCAGAGTCTGCTTGTCCGTGGTCATCAGAGTTATTGGGGTGAGTCAGCTACAGCTCTCTGACCTCTGCTATAGGCAAGTCCCAAGGAATGCCCAGACTTTATTGAACTGTCCTGATCACAGCCTTTGAGTTCCTTACTTTCAGACCGTAATAGAGGATAAAACACTCAAAGTCTATTTTGTTGACGCAGCATTGTATAGCCTGTAATTGCGCTTGCGATCTAGCACCTAAACACCTTGTGTTTTTGGCATTGGGTGGTGTATGTCTTCATTAGAAGTGATCCCGCATTGCGGCAAGAGCTTGTCCCTGTGATCTATCAAGATTGTTGCATAATGTGATTATGTTTTGTATGTGTTCGTACTGTATACTTGACCAACCAATCTTCTGATGGTTTGACTTGGCTTGGGGTTCAAGAGGTTTACTTAAGGATTTCACCTCTGGACTACTCTAAAGTGAAATGCCTCATCATTGTCGTTTCAAATGTGATGTCATTATGAAGACTTCCACATTGCAAAGACTGGAATGTCTGGACTTAAAACCGCAATATGTTTTGATAAATGATTGTATATCTGTGTGTTGGACCATACAACCCAGTAGCCCACTGTATACTTACCGTGGTGGGATGCAAAGACTGTAATATGCTGTTGGCAAAACATTAATCAACTTGTCACAGCTTCTGTGGTTGAACATGTCTTGGTTGACAAACCCAAACAGTCCACTGCAATTGATTCATTTGCCACCATGGTTGCAATCATGTTACCAAGTCAATTCAAGCATGAGCCTGTCATCAGCTTGTACATTTTTTTGGTTTCTAACATCGCTCCAGACCAACTCTGCTGTCAGTGCTGTTCAGTGCTCTACATTGTTGAGGAAAATACCATTTGAAGTTACATATTTTCAATTAAAGACAATCTGAATGGAGTTTGTACAATAGAAATAAAGTACAAGTAATATCTAACTTTTACATTTCCCTTTCAAACCCCAAAAGGATGGATTTCTAAATGATAAGATCGCCACGAAAAGAAAGTCAGACAAGAGAGACAAAAACGTACTATTACAAGAATCTTACACAATAAAAGATGCAGAATTTAGAAGAACATGAAACTCTTGCTCAGAAGGACATTGCCCTGATTCTGAAACTCCAAGACCTGAGGGTGATAATATATGCAAAAGGTTTTCAGAAGTGAAACATCGGGAACCAGAGCTGAAGTACAGTAATGTGTAGAAGACAGAAAGGAAGGCAAAGAAGGAAGACATGACGTGATGTGAATCACTGGGGATAAAAAAAAAGTTCTTGCAGGAAGGCTTCACTTTGAGCTAGAGGAAAATCAGGAGTGTATCTGAAACCTGACTGGAGTGGAAATGTCCCTGTACTGCCTGGGAGACAGGAAGTGGGCAAGCTGTGACAGAGTGGCCAGTGATTGCAAAGTGTGTCATAGCCTGCGGTTCATTTACTGGACCTTGTACTGTTTACAGACTTTGAGTGGCTATATCTTTCCTCCCTAAGTGTTTATTTTGGTGCTGCCATGGGCGCAAAGTTATGTTTTAAAGTGGGGGAGAAACTTGAAAAGATACATAATTGTAGTTGAGTCTTGTGGCCTTCAGATTCAAGACAGTCACCTTGTCTAGATAAATTAGATGTACATATAGGGTGTATATATACCAATGACGCATAAAGAAAACAATTGGTGGTTCAGGAAAGGAAATTATTATTCAAAGAATGGCTATTTTATATTGGAAGTTCTATTAATACAAATATTATATAGCCTAAAATGGTAGTAATAATAATAATATATTTAATTTATATAGAGCCTTTCAAGGGACCCAAGGCTGCTTTACATATGGTAAGGACAGACAACAAAACAAAACAATCAAAGGCAGCAGGGGGACTGTGATGGGTTAGGGGTCAAAGGCCATGGTGACCAGGTGAGTTTTTAGTGATGTCCAGGGAGGCAATGAAAATGTCCAGGGAGGCAGCATTGCAGAACTCAGCGGAAAGAACGTTCCAGAGGGTGGGAGCTGCAACACTGAACGCCATGTCTCAAACAGATCGGAGGCGAGAGTGGGGACTCAAAAGCAGAGCACCGCAGATTCAGAGAAGGGGGGTAGGGGTGGAGGAGGTCCACCAAGTACTGGGGGGCGAGGGCATGGAGAGACTTGTACTTGAGGAGGAGTGTTTTGTACTGGATCCGGGACTTGACCGTAGTAGGTTTTTTCATTAGTCAATTTATTGAACATGTTAGAAACAAAACTAATAATAATAATAATTAATAATAATAATAATAATAACAAAGAGAAGCAAAATATATATATTTTTAAACTTTTAAGGTATACAAAAAATTAAAATTCTCAAATAGTTTCAGTCATGTTCAAAAGGGGCAAGGTGACTGCATATACACGTGTTTAACCTTAACTACATCCAAAAAATCAACAGTGATGATGCATATTAAAGGGCCCATGTCATGCTTTTCCAGTTATTACCTGTCCCCTTGTGTGTTATGAAGGTTTTTCTGCATGTAAACGGTCTGCAGAGTCACAAACCCTCAAAGTACACCCTGTAGCGAGTAAAACTCTAACACAGAAAATACCTGTCTATGCTGCCCCAGAACGCCTCGTTGGACATTTCTCATTTTCCATTGTTTGCTTCCTGGGATCTGTGACGTGTGAAAACCCAAATAAACAACAAATGACCAGATTGGCCCAAATGGACCAATCCGCGGAGCACCTCACACACCAGGATCCCTTGGCTAACTAACAGGGAGTCCCCATTGACTTATAGAGCACCCTGAACGCTGGTATTAGACGAGTTAGGATTGCGGAGAAATGCTCTCCGCAGACCCATTCTCACAGCGTTATAAACCTTTTTCCTACTCAATATCAAGCCACACTTATTGTTTTTACTTCGAGTGTTTGTGTGTGCTCAGGATGAGTTTCGCTTGTTCTCGCTGTATCGCCGACCCGGAAACCTGTCCGCTCCTCGCAGCGGACAGGTTTCTTTTTTTTAACCTGGGTTAGGGTTAAATTAGTGAAGAACTGTGCCTGACTTTGTCCAAATAACATAAGGAAAAGGAAAGTTATATCTATAAGTTCAATAACTCAGCAGAAAAGTTATATTTCAGCCCAGGTTGAAGACAAGGTAAAACCATGAGCTGCTGTGCACTTAAATGTGATATTTACTATTTATTCATTAAGCGACAGACACAATAATTCATAGTTTATTTTCTTAGTTGCTAAACATTTTTCTGCCTCTCTCTTTCCTAGATGACAAGAGCCCGTGTCACCTACCCGAGGCTCCTGGTCCCTGTCGAGGACTCCTGACGCGATACTTCTTCGACAGCATGAGTCAGCAGTGCAAGCATTTATTTTACGGCGGCTGCTTTGGCAATGCCAACAACTTCAGAAGCATGGCGGACTGCCAGGCCAAATGTCAGAACCCAGGTAGGCCAGATTGAACTTGTAATCCTTTTACAGTAAAGGCGGGCAAACAGCCAAGCTGTCCAAACACCCACATTATTAGGTTCTATTCCGAAACAATAATTACATCTGGACAGTTATTGTGTCCAGCAGCTGTGAATGCTCCAAAGACATTGTCATGTGGTGGGAAATTGACTGTATCTCAAAAGAGGAAAAATAAACTTGTTACTCTATGGCCTAATAGGAACCAAAGTGTCTACACCTAAACCTTATAAGTAAGCTGTGACAGAAAATATTTTATTTCGCTGACATTACCTCAAAGGCATGCAAGCCAAACTCATTTCGTATTGGTGACATGATTGAAATAGTTGTCTGAAAATTTACTTTTGAATGAGTCTTAGCTGACCATGAAATCACATCCCACCTTGATTTAGTATTTGAATCGTTTTAAATTGGACAAGGAACACTCAATTATTCCACACTTAGGCACAACTTCAAAGTAATTTAGATATTGAAATAGTCGCAGAAAATAACGAGTAATTTGCTCGAGTGTGACCAATTCTGCAAACAGCCCATGGACTGAAAATCGATTGGAAAAGCTTTTTTCTTTCGATAAGTAGATAACAATTTCAGATTGATGCCTCTGTCTGTTTTTTTAGTATTTTATATGTGTTTGCAGAACACCCTTTCCAGTCTGACACTGATGAGATTAATCTTGCTTTAATGATGATTGATCGTCCGGATTTAATTAAATCTGTTCTAAATATAGGCATGGATTCCTTTGATTCATGTTTCATAGATAGCTGTGGAGAGAGACAGATGTTCTTTGATGTTACTTTTTCTATTTATTTTCGTTAATATAGCAGAACCCACTGAGGCACCAGAAGGCCACATAATGTCTGCGAGAAGATCTGACATTGTGCAGCCGACCAGGATAACTGGTAGGACTGAATGTACACCACACTATACTTCAAGTAAAAGTGTTGATACTTGTTGTTCTTGTCTAAAACACAGAATTAAACTAGTAAAATATCATTTTCAATATCATTCTAAGAATTTGTCATCAGATCAACTTCTTTCAATCAAAAACTTGTTTGTGTGTTCAAGTAAATCAATCAAACACATTTAAAAAAGTGTAGTTTTGCAACATGTGTAATTTGAATGATCTGCTTTCATTCCAATTACAATACTATATGTATCTGCAGTGTTGTTGTTGATCTGAGTTTGTATCTTTATGGTTTATTCTAAATATTGTAAGTTGCTTTGGATAAAAGCATCAGCTCAATGAAATGTAATGCATTGTAAAAGAGCGATACCAAGTATGTCTCTGTGGATGGAGTATGGATCTCATGCCAGCAGCCAATTAGCATAGCTTAGCATAAAGACTGGCAAGGGATACCAGATGTCTTGTTGGAGAATCAAACAACAGCTTGACAGACAAAAGTTTGCATGTAGTTGAAGCGAGATTGAAATTGCCATGAAACATGGTAGAGTTGGTACATTGAAGTGTTGGGCAGATGGATAAACAGTTTTTTTTTGTCTGCATGCAGTCTTCATGCTAAGCTAACTATTATGACAAACGACAGATCCCTTGACATATGACTTTGTTTCTCAGGGGAATCAACTGTAGCTGAACCTCAGGTGCAAGCAAATGTCACTAATCCAGAGCCAAAAGGTAAGAAATAATATATATCAACATAACAAAAAACACACACACAGCTGGTGCATGTGCTACTAACTAGCTTACAGCTAACGTCTGTACAGTTGGTACATAAGCAGTGTTTAGCAATTAGGACTGCAAAACAATCCTGCATTAGATTTAAGGAAAACATTATTGCTGCTTTCTATCTGAACACGAAAGATTATTCAGTGATTTCCACCAGGTGTGCTTCTCTCTCACCTCCCAAACAAAGAAGAATTGAATTGCACACAATTGTCCAGTCAAGATGGCGGCAGAGATAGCCAAAACAGGGATTTATTCATCGTGTACAGTATCTTGCCTAAATGTGGTGTATCATAACTTTGTATGGAATTAATCTGCAGGCGCTTATGTTCGAAATTAGATTACCTGTCTTCCGGGGGATAATGCACAAAAGGAAACAAGTCAATCAGATATAAGCATACTGGGACGGGACGGAGTGGCGCAGTGGGCTGTGCATTGATCATCAGATCAAGGGTGGCGTTGGGAAACTCCAGTTCGAAACCCAGTCCGTTGTGTCCTTGGGCAAGACACTTCACCTGAATTCACTCCTGTTGGTATTGTCCACAGTACATGACCGTTACATGTGTGTAATGTGTATTTGTAAAGCGCTTTGAGCATCTGGAAAAGCGCTATAATAAATGTAAGGAATTATTATTATGAATTATACTGAGTTGCTGATAACAGTTTTTAAATCCATTCACCTTCAAGATTTCTGAAGAAATGTAAGATGAGATGTCCTTTTTCTGTCTCATCACAATGTAGACAGCGAGGAAGAAAGCCAGAAGCAGTACATGCAGTTCATAACAGAAGTCCCAGAGCAGCAGACATTTTGGATACATGAACTGTTGTTAAGCATAATCAAATCTATCATCCTGTCTTCAGAGTAGCAACCAGTCCATGCTGAATTTCTCAGTTATGTTTATAACTCCAATTAAGCTCCAGTTATTTTAATTAACCATTGTGTCTTGCCAATAACTTCACTTTAATAAAATAATAACTCCAGCTGCAGTGATGCATAGATGGTAGACAGCTTGCAAAATTACTTCCGCAGTGCGAGGCAAAGGGCAACATCGAAATGCATACTGTAGCTTCTCCTTCCTACAATTTGTTACGTATTCCCACTTACCATTTTTTTGGTAAATTAGTAGCAAGGGAATATATATCATCGTTCAGGGCTCTTTTGTACCCAACAAGAGAGCACTCACCTGGACTGCTTCCCTGAACTCATTCAAGAGAGTTATCATTTTTAAGAATCCAATTTCCTTCTTGTCAGGAAATATAGTGAGGGGAAGATTCAGGATAAGTTCGCCTCAGTGCTGCCTCCGCAACCAGTCTATGTTCTTTATTTCCGCCATGAGATCTCCAGCACAATAATATATTTCAGAAACAATGCTGGCATCAAAGTAAAACACCTCAAGAACTTACATTTGACAGATTTAGAGGATATATTTTTAACAATTCATATCAGTCATCAATATCAGATGATTTTTTTACTGCTGAAATTAAATTGGGGCATTTAAAGTTTGAAGGCATTAGATAATTGTCATAAACAGTATCTTGAGTATGATGGTGGTCTGCCAAGCATATATTCTATGTTGAAATAAAATACTGACATCTTGTGGTTATACGATGATGTACATTCTCAGTGCCATTGGGAAAAGCTGTATTTTAGAGCTGTGTGACGATAGATCATTTGCATAACAAGCTAAAGCAGCGCTGAGTTAAGGATTTGATACCGCTACCACAACTATCAATTTTCATCTGGCCCTTTCTTAGAATAAAAGTTTTTCAACATTGTGCAGTTTTGAATTTGATTAAATTCTTAATGGTTTTTCAGTTAAATGGTATTCAAAAAATGTATTCAAGCTTGTGAAATTCTTGCAGACTGAAAAAATGTAATTGAATGTTTTTTGACAAAACATTTTTTAAGGAACATATCAATCAAATTCCAACTGAAAGCCTAAAATAACACTCCTTTGGTTTTTCAAATTCCAATGTGATGTTTCATTTCAACCAACTAAAGTGGATTTATGGTTTATCAAAATATCTGTTTTTCTCGGTCTTGGGATTGGGGTTAGGGTTATAGCAAAACAAGTTAACAGCCCCATTTATGTTCATGATACAAAAACGTTGGTAAATTATATTTTAATAAGCTTTCCAGTTTCTCCCTCAGATATCATGGTGGTGATTGTTGTCTCATTGAAGTGCAGAGGATTTCTTCTTGTATAACATTCTTAAATAATTATAATCAATAATAATAATAATATCAATATTGATGGATAGTTAAGATCATTAGGTGACATAGATGCAAGTTGATCCCAACAAGTTAGTAATACATTTAGGCCCCGTTTACATGGATACGGTTCAGGTTGTATCTGCTACTTTTCTCTTTCGTATAGCCCGTTCGTTCACACAAGGCCGTAAGGGAACCGCGGAAACGGACCCCTCAAGCGATAACGGGTCCGAGTGTACGTCCTATACGATCATTTTCCTGATAACGATGAAGCCATAGCCCCACCTCTGCTGCTCATTGCTGTACAGATGTTAGTGCAAAATCTACAGCTCCTCTACCACAACCATCAGCAACAAGTGGACATGGAGAACTACATGAACTACATGTTGCTAAATCCACCGTGGAGAATAAACAGAAGGGCAACCAGGCAACCATGGCAACCATGCTCGGGGGTCTTCTTCGCTGCTTTTGGTGTATTTTGTGGCGGAAGTACAGCGCCACTTACAGGCCCGGCATATGTACTACAGCGTCTCCAGCGGGTCGAGCTGTCTCGTGTGAACGGACACATTTATTGAGCCGATTGCGTCTGAACGGAAGACTTTTTTTATATCGAATTCGGTTCATCTTTGTTTGCGTTCCCATGTAAATGGGGCCTTAGTATAGGGCCTTAGCAGTAGTGTTTGCCTGTATGTAAATATGTGTCCTGCAGTTGTGGAAAAGAGCACTCATGGCTGCTAACAAGCTTCCCTGTGTGCCTCACCATGAAGCCAGCTAGAGAATAAATCAAAGAGGATAGCTAACACCATCCTGTGGGAAGCCATGATAACAACTCTCTTTTTCCAATCTTTTAATTTTAGTCTGAGAGCCTCCAGACAAAAATATATTCCAAAGCCAGACTGAAGCTTATGTGGTGAGGAGATGAGCCTGTGTGGAGTTAAAAGCTAAGAAAATGTAGATGAAAAGAAACATGAGTCTTCTTTAGGTGCTCCGCCTCCTTCATGACTCTTTAGTAAAGATGGAACGGATCCAAGAGATCCAAGTAAATCATGATATAACATTTCATAGACTAATGCAGTGTCTGTTTGGCCACAGAGTGGCCTCTGGTATTGCTGCAGGCCATTTAGAGAACCACTCATCTAAACAACTTCACACTTGACACATGGCTTCCTTGGGTATTTAATAGAGTGGTGTAGGCCGACCCGTAAATTAGCATTGCAAGGGCTCCTTTGACAAACAAGCAATGGGAATATTTTATTCTGGAATATTGCGGTAAATAATCTCTATGATACATTTTGTTTAGCAGGATAGTCTCCCCATATTAACACAACTTGTATGATTTTGGAAGCATACATGCTTATGTTTATTTTATTATTTATATACATCCTTTTTTTCTTGGTTAGTTTATATATAGTATATGGCACATTTCAAATACAAAGGCAATTCAAAGTGTTTTACATTATCATTAGCACACAAGAAAACTTTAATAAAACAAAATGAAAAGAAGACAATAAATAAAGACATTAAGGGTAGTTAAAATGGTCATTGTCAATACAGATAATGCTGCAAGAGGTGCAGAAGTATAATGTGAAAATGTTGTTAATTATCTCTGGAAAAAGCACTGGTAGGTAGAAATGTTTTTAGACATGATTTAAAAAGACATCTGAGTCTGGATTGTATTCCAGACCTGCAGAGCATAACAACTTGAAGCTTCTTCTGCGGTTAGAAAAGGGTTAGGGTTAGGATTAGTTTATGCAGTCCTAATTTCAATATATGAACTTTTCTGTCTCTAACTCCTGATTTACAGAGGTGAAGCCTACAGACCTGTGCCTTAGTCCGGTGGAAAGGGGAACATGTGATGGGGCGGAGAAGAGGTTTGCCTTCAACTCTAATACCAAGAGATGCCACGCATTCCACTACAGCGGCTGCGAGGGGAACGAGAACAACTTCCAGTCCCGGAAAGACTGTATCATCAAGTGCATTAAACGCAGAAAGGGTACGGTTATTTCATGTATTAGCATTTTCAAAATGTATTTTATAAGAACTGAATTGGAGTTAATTATTTAGTATTATTAAAGAAATAACATGCACCTTCAGTTAACATGTTCAATTGTAGAATATTATTTTTGTACGTTTTTTAGTCCAAAACAACAAAAACAAAATAAAGTTTTACAATATCATACATATTTTACTAAAGATTAAAACAAAATGTACGTGGTAATTATTCTAGATTTGTTGATCAATTGTTTGGTCTTTAAAATATCAGAAACCATTTTACAATGTACATCCCAGTTTCTCAAAGTTTATGTTTTTAAAGGGCTTGTTCTTTAAGTCCAAACCAAAACACATTACATTTGATAGGATATTAATCAGATTAGCTTCTTCAAGAAAATCTTTGGTAAAGAATCATGGAATTAATATGATATATTTCCGTTCTGTTGCAGCTCATGGGAGAGGGACGATTCGGATAAGGAAGAAAAACCTGAACAGCATCGTGAATCGCTCAGTCTGAACACTTGGCTCTGAATTAGATCCTGCAACACTGTGGAGCCACCTGTATTTATGTCCATCTAAGTCTAGCTTTACTCATATCTATTGTTTTCTATGGGTGCAGTACTTGTATAAAAGTCATGTATTGTACCGAATTCCCTCGTAGAGTTTGAATGCAATTATAATCTTTATTTACTTTGTTTTAATCTTGACAAGGACACATTTGTCTTGCTGATCTCAACACTGATGCTGTGTGTATCAATGCTTGTTTTTAAACGTTATATTGTGTCATTTTGATTTTACAGTTTCAGGGCTCTACAATACGGAAATCCTCAATTTTTAAGTCTGATCTAGATTGTTCTCTCAACTGTGTCTGTGGGAAAAAAAAAGTGAAGTGAAGTGTATTCATGTTTTCTGAGTTTCAACTTCTCCATGCACTATATAACGCAATGAATCCTTTTCAATTTTATATTGCAAAATGTTTTTGTCTGTCATAATGTTTTCCTTTTTTCTGTCACAAACGCAGAAGGAGAATCTGTTTAATTAAGACTTAGAGAGTTGATAACCAATTTGTTTTGCCTCTCCGGTCTTCCATACTGTTATAATCATACTGATATCTTTTTTTGTGGGAAACACCAAAGTTTAAGCATTATTCTCGTTCAATAACATGAATGCTTATTACAGTATGTATTGTGTGTGCATAGTGCGTGGTGTTTGTGTTCAAGGGTATTGCTATTGTTAATCAATTTGAACAGCAGCATTAGCAGATTAAACGACTGGCTATCCGTATTCCAGGATCAACCACAACAGGATAGGGAATGATGTCAGGCACACAGATTCATCAAGATGTCCTCACAGCTATAAATCGTTGTGAACAAGGTAATGACTGCTTTATTTTGGTCGGAATTAATATGAACTCTTTTTTATTTTTAATCAATATTATGCAGTTTTGTAAATCACTGTGGCTCTCCTGCTGGTGTTGTTGGTAAGAAAAAACAGAAGGGGGCGGTGTTGTGTAAAGTACGTTTTCAAAGAGGTTTTCAGCACTGTCACTTTACTATATATTTTTATTATAATGGCTGTAATGAAATGTAAGAGTATATATATATATATATATATATATATATATATATATATTAAAGTTCAACTATCTTTCGTCCGGAATTATCTGCTTTATTTCCCATGTGTATTTTGTTACCAATTTGAGTGTCTTAGCTTCTAATATTCTGAATTAATACATAACTTCAAAAAAACTAAAACTAAATCCATGTTTTCATTGTTATTTCATGTGCATTTTGAAAACGGCAGGACCCTGAGAATTTAAAAAAAATGCAGGAAACTCAATGGAACTGCTGCTATACGTTTAGGACACCATTTGACGGCGAACTGAGAACAAATGTAAAAGTAGTAGTAAAGATTGTTTGTTTAAGGAGAGTGTCAATTCAAAGAAACATACATTTCATTTAGTTTCTTTCATTTTCAGGGAATAAATATAAGCGGAACCGTACAAAATAATGAAAGTAAAAAGGTAAATATGTAACAAGTTCATGCTTCAGCCTAAACCTTTGAACTCAGCATATGTTTGCAATGGCATTAACATGTGCCTAAACAAATATTTTGATAATCGATGAATCTCCTGATTATTTTCCAGATAAATCCATTCATTGTTTGGTCTGTAACATTTCAGAATAAAGTGGAAATTGCCAATATAGTTTATATCATATATTCGGTTTAATATGATGTAAACCAACAAAACAGATAAAACAGGGACATCTCCAGAATGTATAGGATGAAAAAAGCATTTTCTGTCATGATTATCTATTCTCAAAATAGACTACATCTAGTTGTATACATTTAAAATGACAGAAGTTAACAAAACAAAAGCTTTACAATAACGTTCAAATGGAACAACAATATTATTTTCATTATTATCATCAATTAATCTCCAAATTATTTTCTAGATTAACAGATTGATTGTTTGGTCTGTCAAATGTCAGAAAATGCCTATTCTAGTTTTTCAGTCTAAAATTATGTATTGGTTTGTTAGTCCATAAAAGTAAACCACAAAACAGATAAAAGAAGGTCATCCTCAGAATTGATCAATTGAAAAACAGCATTTTCAGTCATTATTTTGCAGGAGAAATTGATTCCCAAAATAGTTAGCATTAACTATCTATCTAACTATATTCGACTAATCGTTGCCGCTCTAATGTGACATAACCATTACAATCGACACATTGTATCTGGAGGCTGACCCTCCAGTGTGTGGAGTGTGGGAGCTCCTCAGCTGTACTCGCCGTGATGTAACAGGAAGTAGTGGGTTGCATCCCGACGTCAACCTGACAGCCGCCTCAGCTGCTCACTGAGAGCCGGAGATCCGCCGTGTTCGCTGCTCTGCACCGCAGCCGAGGACCGGAGCCACTTTACGGGATTGCCTTGCAACTTACCCGGTCTGACCCCCCTGCGCTGCGGCTGGATTGTACTCTCCGGTAGGACGCGCTGGGTGTGAAATGTTTGCGATACGCTGTTTTATTTTCCACGTTTTCTGAGCCATTGAGCGACTGTAAACGTCGAGCAGAATAAACAGCGCGGTTGACAATGCGTGTTGTTCATCGCTGTGTGTTTATTCAGGTCATGTCAACTGTTTGTGCATATTTTACAGAGTCAGGCAATACGATGCAATGTCCTTAATCCATCGTAGCAGCAGCATGAGCATTCACAACTGCATTAAACTGCATTGTGCTTCTGTCAGGAGCTGAATGAGAAACATATGGATGCGATATAGTGGAAAAGACAGCAGTGTTGTGTGGGGTTTGGTCACCATATGTCCATCCAAGCGCTTTGTGCATGGTCATGTAGCCTACCATATGCATAACATATTCGGATTATCATTTATTTGCTTTACAGAGGTTTTATTCATGATGTGTAAGGTTGTACGTCGAGTGGTGTTGTAAAGGTATTTTCAAGCTCTGGGGCCAACGGTATATCCAAGCTTCATGGACACGCGTGAAAGCCGTTTAAATGGATTAAAGTACGCAACTTTTTTTTAATCGCTCGGATAAAATAGATTAACACTGTTGGTACACAAACTCCATCAATTTAGACATCCACTTGCATGGATGAATCAAATGTAGATAGGAGTGCTCCTGTACAATCCACCAGTATTTACATCCATTCAATAGATAACAAAATAATGTAAATACATGAAGGGATGACATACAGCCAGGCTTTTCAGGTTAATTGAACTGGAAATAAATAGTGATTCATCTCCATTCAGCACACAGGCTTTCATGTAAGTGGCTCGCTGGTTGCTAAATCATCTGCATGGTTACATAAGCAGCGGATTTGGACATGCTGGAAGTTTGTGGGCTGGGCAGTAAAAAAGGAAAAGGGTAGTGATGATGGTGATGATGATGTTTATATGTAGGAGTAGGATATGATGACAGTGGTTACTATTGGTGATGAGGAAAGATAACTGGAGTCAGTATTAGGGAGGTGGCAGAGCAGAAGCACAGTCAAACCAAAGCAGATTGGTTTGTGGACATGGGAGAACTTTTCTGCCAACAGGTTAAAATTGAGTGTTGAACTGCAGAATTGTCATGCAATGATGAAAGGGATTGTCCCCTTATTGCTTCATATGTGTATTCATATTAACACTTTGGTATTGATTACAGTGAAAACAAAGCTATGGAGAAGAAAAACCAGATTGATGGTTTAAATCGACAGGTTTTATGTGGCTTTCAGACCATGCCGTGCCTTTTTAAATGTGTTTAGAATTGCTTCACATTACAAAATGTTTGAATCCTGCAAACTAAAGTCAGTTCATGTGTGTTTAATTTGGGAAACTTAAACAACTAAGATTTGCAAGAAAAAGCACTTATTGTAAACTATTTGAAAAGGAAAACAACTGTTTGATGTTTAAAATCGATACAAAGATATGTTGTTAATGGTACATTTCTATTCGAAAATATAACCAATTCATGGCTAAATAAAACTTAAACTATGTTTTGTGCAAAAAACGTATTTTTAAAAAACGTATTCCTTGAAAAACAGTTCAATAGTAACGTTTGGGTGTGGTATGATCATGCTTGATCGAACAGCCCATTACTGTCATCACATTTGATAACATTTTAATTGGCGAACATAAATACATACCCCGTACTTAAAATCTGTGAGAATATCTCATGTGACTTTTGGCAGATGTTTGTGTTCAACTCATCAGTTGTAGTAAGACAAAAAAGTGTTTAATCTCCCCTTAAATCCAAGCAGTGTCTACCTGTAAACTCCATCGCTAGCTGCATATGAGAAAGAGTTGTGAGCAGTTCAACCACAACTTATTTAAATACTGTTAAGAGGCTTGAATAAATGAAATTGTCATTTACAAGAAAAAAGATATAGACTTTTAGAAGTAAAAAAATATCATCCATCTGTCGATTATTTCCCACTCTTTTGGAGTCAGGTCATGGGGCAGCAGGCTACCTTAGCCATTAGCAAAAATAAGAACAAAACAGCATTTTTCTGTTGTTCTTTTTGTCTTGACTCTTGACTGATCTGTTGATCAGTGCACGACCCGTAAGATATATCTTACAGTTAGAAACTCCATAGTTGTACTTATCACAATGCATTATACATGGATATATTAAAATCCATCAATTATAAGTTATTACCCTAATTCTAATTTGTTATGGTTAAAATTGGTCTGGTAAACTGGGTCTTTACTCCACTGCCCATGCACGTAAGCCATCAGGACTCTTGGACAGTGAACACATCAATGCTGCCAGTTGGCATCGCTGCAGATGAGTCTGTGAGGCCTTTCTGCTCTGACATCTTCCAATGCGCTACACTAAATACACAAGCCGATTGTGCAGAGGGAATGTCATGCAACTCAAGGGATTCAACCCCCAAACGGCCCTGTTGTGCATTTACTAAGTCAAGTGAACCGCTGTTACATTTGTCCGACACAAAGGTCTCGGCTGCATAGCTTTCAGAGTCTTTACGATCTCCATGGTATGGTGGATGTCTCCCTATAGCAATGGCATTTAGGAGGTGGTGCCAATGGAATCTCATTCACACTGACTGATACTGGTGTACAGTGGCTGTGTGGTGCATGGGGGTTGTATTTAGGATTATGCTTCTTTGCAGTCAAGCAGTAAAGGGGAGATTTCCCTTTGTACTTTTCCTTTAGGAGCTGTTGTTGTGGTATTATAAAGGCTGTGTTGACACTGAATGGCCATTTTGCACTGATCGTGTCTGATATGTGTGCTCAACTGACGCTATAATGGGAGATGCAACTTCCTACAAACACTTCTGGGAAACCAACTCTGATGAGTGCGAAGGCCACCTGACTCACAGTCAAGAGTAATGACGGTTCCCCGGAAACGTAACCCCTCATAAATCATCAGAGCCCACTAGACTACTGCAGCCTGTGAGTTATTGAATTACCATCTAATATTTTCCCTTTCCTGCAGTGGACTGTGGTTGGGCCACATGTTGCATTTTTCTAACTACAACACAAGAACAACAACTGATGATTGCCATTATTCAAATTTGTCCTACAAGATCTCAATCAATTAACTACAAATGTTTTTGTATTAAACCTTTTAAAAATACAACTGTACACCTTCTGAATGAAAGTTCCCCTCTGGTTTTGTCTAAATATAAATCACTAATTTACAAAGTTAGATGTAAAAATATCCCGAATCTTCGCACAGTTTTTTCTCATGGGAGGCAGACAATTAAATAGTCAATAAAAAGAAAGAGACAAAACGTAACAGCAATGTACTCAGCCAATCGCTGATATATTGGACGCTAATCGCCCAACAATTTTTCTCAAACATATGTTTGAACAATGGAAATGATGTATTTTATGTTCTTCCAGCATATTTTATTTTCCCCTAAGCTCATTCATATTGAACCTTCACTGTGTTTCAGATCGGCAACCCAAGTATACATTATGTTTTTTTCTGTCTGCTTACCCAAGGCCAAAGTTATCATATTACACAAAAGCACAATGATGCACACATGCACCGGTCTGAAAGCATTCCCCTTAGGATCTGGATTTAGTTTCGGGGATGTGAAACCTTTTGAGCTCATTTTTCCACTCATATATTATGGAGGGTCATTAATTTTCCCTCTCCTGTTTAATTTCAGCGCACAAGGTGCCTCATGAGAACTGTCATGGGCTAATGTCTTCTGAAGCAGCGGGGGAGCTTTGTCTGTGTGCAGTGGTTGGAGGTGTTTTGTTTTTTTGGAGGACAGTGGAAATACGCTGTGTGGTATTTCAAAGGGTGTTCCATCTGTGTGTGAGCAAACCAAACCATCAGCGACACAGGCTTCCTGATTTACTGCAGGGGGCTTCTGGCATATGGAATGGAGAGGAAGTGATCCTGAGTAGCTCTGTATGTCCATTTGTCTTCCAAAGGTGAACCTATAGTATTGTGTCGTGGTCATACTATGTGCACATTTGACTTTTACAATTAATTTTGCCAGAAAGATATAGGGTAGGGCTACATGATATTGGAAAAAAACATTGTGATATTGGTTTTTCCTGCAAAATACTAAATCAGAAATTGTCACCAGATGAAACCTACCCATTATTGGTCATCTCTATCCTTTCTGTAGCCAAATGATTGTGGGTTTTTTGCAGCCAGAACCTCTTTAAAAACCATGTTTTGTATTACTGGCTAATTTCCAGGTTGTGTTTAATGGCTATCAGGGTCTGCTTGGATTGTTTGATTCATCATGAATGATAAGGATTGGTGGTTCGCTGTGAATGCAGAACCAACTCACTACCAACATTACATTACATTTAGCTGACGCTTTTATCCAAAGCGACTTACAATAAGTACATTCGACCAGGAAGACACAATCTTGAAGAAAACAGAATCATATAAGTACATCAGGTTTCATAGAGCCAAACATTTCAAGTGCTACTCAACTGGCTTTAGGTAAGCCAGTCCTTTATTAGTATATAAGTGCTTTGTTAATAGTTCTAACGCTCGAAGTGGAGTCGAAAGAGATTAGTTTTCAGTTTGCGCCGGAACAAACTTCATATATCTAAGAACCAGAGGTGGGACCAAGTCATTGTTTTGCAAGTCCGAGTCAAGTCTCAAGTCTTTGCGCTCAAGTCCAAGTCAAGTCTCAAGTCAGGATGGGCAAATTCAAATTCAAGTTCAAGTCCAAGTCCTAAACTTTGACAAAACGAGTCATAAACAAGTCATTATGTGCTTTTAACCAAATGTAATGACATTGATCAACAGAATAATACTTAATAATCAAATTGCTCTTTATTACTCACATTAATAATTTAATAATCCATTTTCTCTCTGCTTAAAATAAATCCTGAGTGGTTACCAAAATAAAAAACCCTGCTCTGAAGGTTATTTTCATTTTACAAATCCTGCACTCAGCTTTGCTTTCTCCAATATCATTGAAAAGCAGCCAGATGCTGCTTCTTTTTTCGGTTTTCGCAAATGTCTTGACTTTTTCC